CCCACCCCCACCTCTTTTCTTTGTGTATGTTCATTTCCGGTATCACCTCTAACTTTGGGCGCTGTTGTGGCGTAATGATTGTGCTGCAAGTGCTGTCAAACTCGGACTAAAACTGCTACCAGTGATGCAACGTGTGTGTGTGTCAGCTATTTTGAGGGTGGGAGGGACCTTCTTTGAACTTCCGCTGCCATTGTTGACTGGTGTTGCCATGGCAACGAGAGCAGAGGAGATTTCGTCGCTGTAGTTGTTGTCGTAGTTGTAGCTGTTGTTGTAGTTGTTGTTGTTGTAGTTGTAGTAGTTGTTGTTGTAGTTTTTGTTGTTGTAGTTGTTGTTGTAGTTGTTGTAGTTATTGTTGTAGTTGTAGCTGTTGTTGTAGTTGTTGTTGTTGTTGTTATTGTTGTAGTTGTAGCTGTTGTTGTAGTTATTGTTGTAGTTGTAGCTGTTGTTGTAGTTGTTGTTGTTGTAGTTATTGTGGTTGTTGCTGTTGTTGTAGTTGTTGTTGTTGTAGTTATTGTGGTTGTAGCTGTTGTTGTAGTTGTTGTTGTTGTAGTTATTGTGGTTGTAGCTGTTGTTGTAGTTATTGTTGTAGTTGTAGCTGTTGTTGTAGTTGTTGTTGTTGTAGTTTTTGTGGTTGTAGCTGTTGTTTGTTTTTTTAGCATGGAGGAAAGACACAAACGGTGTGGGTGGACAGTGACAGGAGAATGTACGTGAGTGGTTGGCGGGTGCTCTGGTGTGGTTTGCTCCTTCTTTCCTACCGAACATCTATCGTCCTTATCTCCCCTTCTTCATTTTTGTGTGTGTTACTCTCTTGTAACACCTCTAATCTTCTGGCGCTCATATGACCTTATGCAGTTGCGAGCGCCGTAAAACCTCTACTAAAACAAAAAACAGTAGAATGTACAGGTGTGTTGCTTACAGGTGTCGGACTTCATAACACTAACAATAACAACAATGATTATTATAATGATGGTGGATCATATATTATTTAGCGTATTTCCTGTCTGTCTGTATATCTGTATGTCTGTCTGTCTCCATCCATCCATCCATCCATCCATCCATCCATCCATCCATCCATCCATCCATCCATCCATCCTCCCATCCATCCATCCATCCATCCATCCGTCCATTCATCCATCCATCCATCCATCCATCCATTTATCTATCTGTCTCTCGATACCTATCTCTCGATATCTATCTATCTATCTATCTATCTATGGCACACACACACACACGTACACACACACACACACACACACACACACGCGCACGCGCACACACACACACACGCACGCACGCACGCACGCAC